GGACGGGAATGGTTGGCTTGCCATGGCCGCCTGCACAGCTGGGAGCGCTGCCCAAGTACCATGTTCATCTTTCACCTGGTAACATAATTCCTGTTGAGATTCTCCAAGTTTTCCCTTAGTCTGAAGAAGAAAATATAAAATACTTGAATATATTTGCAAGTCTGACAACTAATGAAAATTAGCTAAAGCTTCTTACCTTAAACCAAATGAACACTGTATATTTCTTCATTTGCAGTGTGATTTCTTTAGTGAGACTGGCTTTGAGGCTTGCGCAATTCCTAACCTGACAGTGGTTCTGGTTTGCTATCAGCCTCATAGAACAAAATCGAGGGATTATTCACTAAAAAGGTGAAGTCGTTTCCTTTTTTCCTTACCTCCCTCACATTCGTGTATATACAAAAGCTTCTTAAGCGTACGTGAAATGTCTGTAAAATATCAAGTGCTTTTTGTTCAATGGAAATGTAATCGCAAATGTTGACTTCCATTAGTTTTACTCTGTAATATGCTGTAAGTTCCAGAATGACTTCTAGGTGTAGTTCTTCAAAGTGGAAGGAGTAACTTCACCTGTACAGGTGGGTTCTGAGTATTTTATAAACAACAGCTGCTAGTAAATACATGGGGAAATACATTTCCTAAGAAAATGATGGATAAAACCTCATCGGCTGAAGGAAGTGCTGCAGAGAAGAGTTGCTACAAAGGCGAGAAAAAGCCACAGAACGCTGATGTACAAGGATGCGGCGCTGTAAAACCCATCTCCCACACCAAAGCTGTTTTCCTCCGTCTGCACTTTAAAAAATCTAAGTAGAAAGCTTTTAAACATTACGTTACCCATCAACATGTCATTCCAGTTCTTGTAACGCGAACCAGAGGAGTGTACCAGACAAGGTGAGGTCACGTTTCAAAAAATTTGTGGGCGCCTTCTTGATACTCAAACTATGGCTATGCAAAACAATCCTCGTGTTATCCGGAGGTCTGTGGTGGAAAGGATCAGGTGAACGAAAAATAAGAAGTGCATTATTTTGCCTTCTGTATTAGTTGTTAAAACGAATGGTGTTCCTGAGCGTGGAACATGTCTCGTGCACTGTTTACCTGAGGAGGAAATCCTGAAGAAAAACAAACCCAATACTGAGACCCGTGTTTGAAACTGGTAAGGTTCAAAACCAAAAAGGTTTGTTTAAGGTCTGATGGTATAAAACACATAAAAAACGACCTTGAGAAACAATACCACTCTCCAGGACTCGTCACTCCAGGTGGCAGATGGCCGTGTTTAAGTACATAGTATTTATTTTCCCATTGTTGCCGATGTTTAATAAAGCGGCCAAGCTTGCAAATTTTCCTAAATTCTGCTCGGAATCCTGCTTTTGCTACAGATCCTAGCGGGAAGCGACAGCAAGTTGCGTCCGTCAGGAAAAAGGCGCAGCACGGAACGCGGCAGCAGCCCCGGGGCCGCGGTGCCCCCCGGGTGCCCGGCGAGCCGTGAGC